CCTGAAGGTGTCTGTATCGCTTTTCCTAGCACTATGTAACTTCGGGTTTCGGGTAGGAACCCGAGCACAAAAAGAACTACAAAATTCAACCACTTTACGGCATACGTCACTTCCCCCACCACCCACAACTTCCTCAGATTCTGACGTGAGTGCTCAACTCGCGTTTGATTGCCGTCTGTATGTTTTCGTCATGGCCGAACCAACAGCTACAAGGAAGAAGGCAAAGGTTTTGTCAGAGGACACTAAAAAAAGAAAGAAAAAGGCATAGTGACAAATGAAAAGCCAGGACGAGGATCACCATTGGTCCAGCTTTCGCTGGCGTGAGCTACAGGAGGAGGAGGGGTGCCCGACCGATGCTGACGCTTGCCTGCACACAAATGCCGTTTCCAAGGTGACCCAGATAAATCATATAAGTAGTGTAGTATTTTCTGGTATTCCGGCCACAGCCGATGGTGTTATGTGTGTAATAAAATGCCCACAGCCCATTGTTCATTTCTACACACAAGCACAGCCCGCCACAGTGCAGGGCTCGCACAAATAAAGTCGACTCATGTCAAATGTACATTAAATGTAGTGAACGTGCCCACGACTCAGTGCCCACAAACACTACACACAACATGTCCCACGGTTTCTGTAAAACGAAACCAACACACATAAGTTACAGTCAGCTCAGGCCGACGGTGTTTTTAGTGCAGTAAATGTGCCCGCCGTCCCGCGCCCACATTCACTCAGACATGTTAGCACTAAGCCCCACGGGGCTCGCCCCGCTCGCTCTCTCTCAGCAGACTGCTATAAGGGAATCGAGCGCGGCAAGGCTGCCCGCCTTAAACACTGCAAGCACACACAATCTAAAGACACGGGAGGCTGACCCACTGTCTATGGTCTGACCGGTTGACTGTTTGTTGACTTTTGCGACAGTGCTGCGGAGCTTGTGGCCTCTAGGGACGCTAGACGTGAAAGTTACAGGTCGAGCGCCACTAGTGGCCAAAAGTTCCGCGGTGTGCCTTTAAGTATTTTCCTCCCATAGAAAACCGTTAAAGAAAAAGCTTTACGTGACTTTCTATAGGAGAAACGCGTTGCGTTCATATTCTGGGTTCATTCTACCGGCAGAAGTGCGATCATGGTTTTCCTGATGCTAAATCCAGCCTTGGAGAATATCCTTTCTGATGGTGTGCATCTTTAGATTTTCTTATCCCAGACATTTTTAAGTTTTAAATCCCTGCCGACACGACGCTCCTCTGTCGGTCACGGATCGAAAGTGAAACTTAAATCTGTCACGGGGTGTTTGGATTTATTCACGCTGCACGCACGTTAAAAAATATTTATTAAAAGCTTCTTTCTTTGCACATTTTTATTGACAGCATTATCATAATAGGCTGTATATTAACGTATTGACAGAAAACCAGTAGTTCTAAGTGAAATCAGACATTGAGCACACTCATATAGCCAAAATGACATAATCCTCGTTTAATAACACATCTGCGAAGATTCGACCGTGAGATTGGTAGTCGAATCAGGCTCCTCCTATCGAAGCATCGAATCTTCGACTATTCGGGGTCACCCCTACTGTATATATATACATATATATATAACAAGTACATCAGGATTTATGGGAAGTGTTCCTGGTTCCGGCTGACCTAATCTATGCAGCCTAACATTGAATTATAGAAGTCTTTAGTGTGTTATGTGTATGATAGGCCAAAGAGATGTGTTTTTAGTCTAGCTATGAACTGACAGAGTGTGTCTGCTTCCCGGACTTTTGGTGCTAAATAGGAAAATGATCTATACTTCCTGGTTTTGGTAAGAACTCGAGCTGCTGCGTTTTGGACCAGCTGTAGTTTGTTTATTAAGCGTGCAGGGCAACCACCCAGTAGAGCATTACAGTAATCTAGCCTTGAGGTCATGAACGCATGAACTAATTGTTCCGCATTTGTCATTGAGAGCATATGACGTAATTTAGATATATATTTTTAGATGGAAGAATGCAGTTTTACAGATGCTAGAAACGTAGAATTTTCAAATGAAAGATTGGTATCAAAGAGCATCTTGTGGTGAACAATTAATCCGTGCAAGTTAATACACCGGAAAAAATAGTTTGTCGTGGTAATCTTTAATGAAACTCTGAAAAGTTACTTCTGGACTGGAATGGCGTTCCTTCTCTGATGACGTCAGTTTGACGGGTTGAAAAGGCGTAACCTCTCCTCTATAACCGTCAGTCTGCTGTGAGCGAGAGTGTTACGGTTGGGTGTAGGCAGGAAGCACGAGGAGATCAGGATTTCCAAAAACAATATACTTTACTAATAAATCAAACTCAAACTGATACAGGCAGGCAAAGGATGCACAGGTAACATACACACACCGTTCACAAACGAGAACCGAAAAGGAGTGAGGGAGAACACAGGGTTTACATACACAGAGAACGGATCATGGGAACAAGACACAGCTGGGGCAAATTAACTAGAAACAGGTGAAGGAACTGAACACAAACGAGGAGCGGGAAAACTGAGATACAGGACTCAACCAAAACACAATGCAGGGGGAAACACAGCACACACATGTAACATAACGCCCCCTCCAAAAAGGCGCGTCCTCGCGCCGTATAACTTCAATAGGGGTGGGGGGGCGGGCGCCCTGGAGGCTGACGAGGGCGTGGCCTACCCTGAGCAGGAAGCCTCCAGGGCGGAGCAGGCTGGTCAGGGGGCCATGGCGGAGTAGGAGACCACCCCTCGGGCGGTCCTGGCGGAGAATCCCCTTCGGGCGGCCATGGCGGAGAATCCCCTTCGGGCGGCCATGACGGAGAATCCCCTTCGGGCGGCCATGGCGGAGACGCACCTTCGGGCGGCCATGGCGGAGACGCACTTTCGGGCGGCCATGGCGGAGACGCACCTTCGGGCGGCCATGGCGGAGACGCACCTTCGGGCGGCCATGGCGGAGACGCACCTTCGGGCGGCCATGGCGGAGACGCACCTTCGGGTGGCCTATATCCCCCCCCCAAAACTTTCTTGGGGGGAATCACAGGCTCTGGGACAGGCTCTGGGACGTGGAAAGTCTCTGGCTGGGCTAGCGGTGAAGGCCCGGCTATGCTGGATGGAACCAGCGGTGAAGGCTCAGAAGGACTGGACGGGACCAGCGGAGAAGGCTCTGAAGGGCTGGACGGGACCAGCGGAGAAGGCTCTGAAGGGCTGGACGGGACCAGCGGAGAAGGCTCTGGCTCGGCCGGCGTGACGCGAAGCTCCGGCCCGGCAGGCGTGACGCGAAACTCTGGCTCGGCAGGTGGCAGGTAAGCTCAGGCTCGGCAGGCGTGCAGGGAAGCTCAGGCTCGGCAGGCGTGCAGGGAAGCTCAGGCTCGGCAGGCGTGCAGGGAAGCTCAGGCTCGGCAGGCGTGCAGGGAAGCTCAGGCTCGGCAGGCGTGCAGGGAAGCTCAGGCTCGGCAGGCGTGCAGGGAAGCTCAGGCTCGGCAGGCGTGCAGGGAAGCTCAGGCTCGGCAGGCGTGCAGGGAAGCTCAGGCTCGGCAGGGCTGCAGGGAAGCTCAGGCTCGGCAGGGCTGCAGGGAAGCTCAGGATCGGCAGTGCTGGACGGGACCAGCGGAGAAGGTTCGGCTGGGCTGGACTGAACCAGCAGTGAGGGCTTGGCTGGGCTGGACGGAACCAGCGGTGAGGGCTCGGCTGGGCTGAACGGAACCAGCGGTGAGGGCTCGGCTGGGCTGGACGGAACCAGCAGTGAGGGCTCGGCTGGGCTGGACGGAACCAGCGGTGAGGGCTCGGCTGGGCTGGATGGAACCAGCGGTGAGGGCTCGGCTGGGCTGGACGGAACCAGCGGTGAAGGGGGCTTTGTGCTGGACAGGACCAGCGGCGAAGGATCAGCGGGCTTTGCTGGATCCTGGGTGAGGATGGACGACGTGGCGAAGATGGCTGGAGCCATCACTGGAGTGACGGTGATGCGGAGACCTCTCTCAAACATGATCCTGACGAGGTAGTCAGTCAGGTCATGGCCAGCCAAGTCCATCTCTGTTTTGGTCGGTTCTTCTGTTACGGTTGGGTGTAGGCCGGAAGCACGAGGAGATCAGGATTTCCAAAAACAATATACTTTACTAATAAATCAAACTCAAACTGATACAGGCAGGCAAAGGATGCACAGGTAACATACACACACCGTTCACAAACGAGAACCGAAAAGGAGTGAGGGAGAACACAGGGTTTACATACACAGAGAACGGATCATGGGAACAAGACACAGCTGGGGCAAATTAACTAGAAACAGGTGAAGGAACTGAACACAAACGAGGAGCGGGAAAACTGAGATACAGGACTGAACCAAAACACAATGCAGGGGGAAACACAGGACACACATGTAACAGAGAGATGCAGAGGAGGACGGGTTAGGTTTAATGGGATGGGTTTACCCCACGCTAGAGTCTAAACCTGCCCTCTCTCAATATTCCGTTTCACTTGGAAATACGGCACAACTCTGGAGAGAAGTCGTTTGCAACTTCCGGTTCACGGGGACTTTAAGCAGGCAAGCCCAGAATGCATTGTGACAAACCCACATTTTTTTTGTATCTTGTGTGTTTTATTATTGGAGTATTGTGTTGTTAGACATCCAGCTGTTGAAATCAAAAGTGCTATTTTTCTTCACAAAAAGAGAGCATGGCTTAGAGAGCATGGAGCATGGATAATCATTTAAAATGTTTAGCTCTAAAATCTCTAAAATTATCAAATGACTCGAATCCTTTGCTAACGCACGACACCACAGGCTGTAGTTCTGCAAGATTTGCTACAATAATAACAAGACAGCTTTTTTTTCTTTTAATTGGTTTCATTTATGATGTTTGTTACATCATTTTTGATTAGAGTGGAAATTATGTTAAATGTGGAAAATAATGTTAACTTGACTGACTGCTTAATTTCCACTTTAAGATTTTACATGCAGTGAGGTTTTAAACAGTCTCTGTTATGTTGGTTTAACCCACACATGGACAACGTAAGATATCTTTGGTTCAGGTGCGATTCTGGGGCGCTCGGAGACGCAGGAGTGTGTGTTTTATAATGCGAGCTGGGAAAAGGACGGCACGAACCGGAGTGGAATCGAGCCGTGTTATGGAGAAAAGGACAAACGACGACACTGTTTCTCCACCTGGAAGAACCGCTCAGGAACCATCGAGATGGTGAAGCAGGGATGCTGGCTCGATGACGTCAACTGCTACGACAGGTGTGTTGCATTCGCTGTGTGTGTGTTTGTGTGCATGTGGTGATCAATGATGAAAACACGTTCTCTCTGTGTGTGTGTGTGTGTGTGCAGCAGCGAGTGTGTGGAGCGTAAGGAGAATCCTGATGTCTTCTTCTGCTGCTGTGAGGGGAACATGTGCAACGACAGGTTTCTCTACAGTCCAGAGACTCTTCAGAGTGAGTTTTAACCCTCAGGTGTTCAACGTGAAGCTGCAGAGAGACATCTTTATACCTTTATCACCCGTTTCACTTCAGACAGGCCTCACAGAAATCAGAAGCATCTTGCCTTTTCTTTTCTTATGGGGTCTCCAACTTTTTCTTTGAAATGGGCAACCCAATTGCAAAGGCCGCCTCTAAAATAAGATCAGTACATAAACAGAATCTGCTCAGCAGGAGCGAAGTTTCCTAACCTAACGCCATGCAATAAGTTTCCAGCAACAAGCAGTTTGTCTGTCCACACCAGACGCGACAACAAATCAATCACAAATCACAGCCAATCAGAAGAGCGTGTGGGCGGAGTCTCTCTGCACTCCCAGCTTAATGCATAATGGATCAAATTCATAAATACTACACCATTTCAACATTATTAAAAATACATACTGAGTGACTGAAACCATCTTTGTCATAGAATACACTCGTTTGTTCACGCTTTTAACATAAAATAAAGCACATAATCAGTACATGAGATTATCATTGTCATAGTTTGTATGTTGTTGTTTCTAAAATAGAACTGCATATAGTATGGCTTTCTGGCTTTCTAAGTGTCCATATTTGTAAAAGTGTCACATTTTCAGTTAATTCTTGTGTCCAGCCACATCGAACCCGGTCAGCCCGAAGCCGGACCCCTTTCCCACAATGCTCTACTCTCTGATTCCCATCATGGCTGTTGCTGTGATTCTCTTCATCTCATTCTGGATGTACCGGCATCTGAAGCTGTCGTACCCGCCGCTACTCGTGCCGTCACAGGTACTTCAATATCAAAATCAATATCTGTGAAAGATCTTTGTGTTCAAGAGATCAACTCTGAGAAGCATGTTTGGAGTGTTCGGGACTCTTTCACATGTCACTGCCGTTATAAACGTGTTATAAACGTGTATCCATATGTCTTTTGGGCTACACTTTATTTTAAGGTGTCCTTGTTACAGTGTAATAATACATTTAAGAACAAAGTAATATTAAGTAACAACATTACTTACTGTATGGTTAGGGTTTGGTTAGGGTTATTTGCATATAATTATGCATAATATACTGCTATTACTACAGTAAGTACATGTAACATATGTACATATTTTACATAAGGACACTGTAAAATAAAGTGTTACTGTGTTTTGTTGCTGATCATTCATAATAACAACAATCAACTATTGTACCACTGGGCGGCAAGTGTTTCACTGATAAAAGTGATTTTCTCATAGGCGGAGTTTCACTTTTGTGCGTGGGGGGGCACCTACCGGCAGACCACGAGCTCAGATTTTTTTTATATGGGCTACCATATTTAAAATGTATATATCATACCATTTACATTTAAAATACATTTACAATGAACAAGGACTGCTATACTAAGAATAGCGTTAAAAACATATCTTACCTAATGCAGAAGAAGCCGCCTCTTTTTCCGCGTTGCATAGATGTCCACTATCTTTTCTTCTGATAAATTTGCAGTCAAGTCGTTCTCTATATGCAGTAGGGAAAGATTCGAGAATCTGTCCTGAGCCATTGCAGATCGGAGCCAGTTTCTGATTCTTCTCATAACTGAGAAACTTCTTTCTGACGTAGCAGAGCCAACTGGCAGTGTGAGTGCAAGCTGCAGCAGACGGTAAAAGTTTGGATATCTATCCTTCCGTACTTCATCTTGAAGTTTTTTTAGGGTGATCGGCGATGCGATTGCACATTTCACAAGATCCATTTCAGCTGCCACAAGCTGAGGGTGAATCTTAAAGCGGCTCGCATACATGCTTAGTAAAGGACCGATGCCGTTCTTGTCACAATTTAATACACCATCACATGCCACACTCAGGGTCATTGCTTCAGTGGAAAATCGCCTGTCCAATTCAGCCAGCATAGTGTCTAAAACAGGGAGATACAAATGACATTTAAATGTCTGTGATTCTGATCCCCATTGCGTCTCATTTTCATCACGCTGTCCAAGTGTGGTTGGTACCAAGTACTGCGAAAGCCCGGGAGGTTGTCGCGAAGTTCTTTTTCGTTTTCCTGCAGTTTGGGGGGCACTCTCTGCACAAAAACCAGCGACATCTTCACAAAACGTTTTCACCTGCTTCCACATTGCCTCCCAGGAACTCTCCTCTCTGCAGCGCTGGAGATGTGTTATCAGACTATTGACTGCTGAGGCCGCATCAGCCATGGTTGTACTTGCACCTTGCAGACGTTTGTGTGTTACATGTACAACTCTGAGAACTTCCTCAAGAACAATTAAGGACGTAATGAATCGGAGACTTGTCATGTGATTATACAACCCACTTGCATCCACAGACCACTTTTCTCCCTCTTCTTCCATCTCTTTCAAACAGCGAGTGATGGCAGCATATTGTGATTTGACAGCATAAACACACCTATATTTGCAAGCCCATCGTGTATCACTTTGCTGTACTAGCTCTTTTGGTTTAAGAGCCAGTGTTTTCTGCATCATGAGAAATCTGCAATGGTTGCTTGGCTCTGCAAACAAGGAGTATAGTTTGTCAATGACATTTAGACACGTTTTAATGTCTCTGTTCACTGTGCATGATTCAACGAGTACGAGATTTAGTTTATGTGCCATGCAATGCACATACACAGCAAAGGGGAATTCCTCTCTGATCCGTTGCTGAACTCCACTCAAATGCCCCGACATTACAGCGGCTCCATCATATGCCTGAGCAATTATGGGAATGTCCTTCAGCCCACACGACTGCAATCCTTCTATAATGCCAGAAACAATCCCTGCAGCATCGCGAGAATTGGAACAGTCAACAAAGCAAATAAATCGCTCCTTGATCTGAAGTCCCTCTGTGTATCTAATGCAAACAGAAAGTTGCTCAGTCTTTGATGACTTTGCTTCATCAGCAATAACAGCAAGAAAACCAGTCTCGTGTACTTTCTTGGAAATTTCTTCACGAATGAGGTCTGCACACAATGCAATTATTTCATTCTGAAAGTCTCGGCTTGTGCAGTTAAAATATTTGGACTGCATGGATTCGAAATCAGGGTCGTATTTTGAAAACAAATTACAAATACTTAAATAATTCCCCCTTGCTTCTGCATCAGTATCTTCACGATGTCCGCGGAAAGGGAGGCCTAATTTAGCAAGCAATTTTATAATATTAACGGATTTGTAGAGGTACTGTCTGTTTTTTTCTACTGTGCTTTGATGGCTGTGTGACAGCTGTGCTGCCACAGATCCCGATTCACCAGCCTGTTTGTAGCTCTCCCACATCGTCATGCTGTTTAAATGTACCTGTGACGAAGCGTGTTTTGTCAGCTTCTCTGACAGTTTTTTCCAGTTCCGAGCTCCCACTTTTGTAAATAGTTCGTCTGCGCCTGATCTTGCAATATTTGAAGAAAAGTGGCGACAGCAAAAACAAAAAACGGAATCCAGTGAAATTGAGTACTCCATCCATGGGAACTTGTGATAGTAAAATGTAGAGAAGGCACGATTAACATTTCCAATTAGGCGCTTAGGGAAAGAAGAAAGTATGGGCTGTTTCGGCCCAATAGCTTTTTCACCGAGGTCAACGTATCCAGATCCAGATGCGGCAGGTTGCGCGGGTAACGGTATCTCCGGTGACACGGTAGCGGTGCTGCTGGCTTTGTTCTCAGATGCGGCCTCGATTGCTGTGTCAGTAGCAGCAATGGAATTGATAGCTGAAGTGTCAGAGTTAGAAAACTCCACACTAGTGGGCTTATTAAAAAAACGACGAATGTCCATTTTGTTTATTTATCTGACTAAAGCGGGAACAGAACGAGAGTCCACTCACTTACCGCGATACTTTGAGATCCGCCAGTCGTGAGAAAATTAGCTTCTTTTTCAATACAGTAATTAAAAATAATTTAGCCTTAACTTACTCATTATACCCGCAAAAATGACAAGATAAGACAAATAAAATGAGAAAATATAAATTCAGTAATTTTTATTTATTTTTCAAAGCACAAGGCAGGCATAAATTGGCTCTGGTCTGGGGGGGCAGTGCCCCCCCTAGCCCCCCCCAAACTCCGCCTATGGATTTTCTTACTCAGAACCAAGTCTTGTTTTCCAGTGTAGTTTAAACAAGAAAAGTTTTTGTTTCTCCTTTCTTATGTTAAGTATAAAGTCACTCAATTTTTTATATTTTTTAATATAATAAAGTCTTAATATTTTATATCATTTTGCATCTCAAGTCAGTGTTATTTTAGTGTCATTGATATATAATTCTATTTTTATTAATATTTTCAATTAGATTACATTTTTTTATATTTCTGTTTTTATTAACATTTTTAGTTAAAGCTTTACAAATTCTGTATTTTTGTGTGCTTTTATTCATTTAAAAAATGCATATATAGTTTTTATAGGTTTTAGTTATTAGTTTGAGTTATTTTAATACTTTAAGAATTTCAAACACGACAAAAGATTTATATAAAAACAATATAATCTTTTTTTTAGATAGCTAGGTGTGTGTGTGTGTGTGTGTTTCTCATTGTGGCATATGAGAATCTATCACAGACACCACATCAATATTTCCCTTTCTCATTCTCATGCTGAGATGATTTTGAGCTCGTTCTTGCTCTCATCACAGCGCTTGTGTGCTAGAAACAGTGAAATCCCTCTCTTCATCTTTTGCTAGCGCGCCTTTCATATCATGATAGAGGTAAGAGCTTCATTCACTCTCCCATCCTGCCATGCCGATGCTGTGGTTTTCATCCTCTTTCATGAGTTTGTGATGCGGTCGCTGTTGTCTGTAAATGGGTCTTCCTTCTTTTTTTCTTTCTTTCTCACTCGCTCGCATGGATTAATATTTGAGTTCTCCTGCATCAGACGCTGCTTGTGTGTTTGTGTGTGTCTGCAGGAGAGTCTCAGCAGTGATTGTTGTGTTTGTGTGGAGAGTCTCAGCAGTGATTGTTGTGTTTGTGTGGAGAGTCTCAGCAGTGATTGTTGTGTTTGTGTGGAGAGTCTCAGCAGTGATTGTTGTGTTTGTGTGGAGAGTCTCAGCAGTGATTGGTGTGTTTGTGTGGAGTCTCAGCAGTGATTGGTGTGTTTGTGTGGAGAGTCTCAGCAGTGATTGGTGTGTTTGTGTGGAGAGTCTCAGCAGTGATTGGTGTGTTTGTGTGGAGAGTCTCAGCAGTGATTGGTGTGTTTGTGTGGAGAGTCTCAGCAGTGATTGGTGTGTTGGTGTGTTTGTGTGGAGAGTCTCAGCAGTGATTGGTGTGTTTGTGTGGAGAGTCTCAGCAGTGATTGGTGTGTTTGTGTGGAGTCTCAGCAGTGATTGGTGTGTTTGTGTGGAGAGTCTCAGCAGTGATTGGTGTGTTTGTGTGGAGAGTCTCAGCAGTGATTGGTGTGTGTGTTGTGTTCAGGATCCCGGACTGACGCCCCCGTCTCCTCTGTTGGGCCAGAAGCCTCTTCAACTGTTAGAGGTCAAGGCTCGAGGACGCTTCGGCTGCGTCTGGAAGGCTCAGCTACTCAACCAACCGGTGGCGGTCAAAATCTTCCCTGTCCAGGTATCTGAGAGATTCCATGTCATTACTGTTTGCACATGTTGCCTCTTCAGCTTCAGTATAGAAGATATTTTCAAGGCTTTAATGTTTATAATTAAGCAGTAAGCCAAAAGCAATTTTACCATGGTTAAGGCATGTTTGCTTGCATGCTGTAACTCAAAACTAGAGTGGTTTACTATTGTGCTCTGAGTGTCTTGAATATGAATATTCCTCAAACATTCTGGTTTGTGTTTGTTGTAAATCTCTAACCCAAAAAATTAAGTGTCTGCAATTAATTCAGCCTGAAAATACACTTCATTGTACTGGAGACTCATTTTAAACATTTATAGTTCCAGTCTTAAGTGTTTGTTTTTGTAATATTTTGAAAACCAATTCAGCATTCAAGATGTAAATGATAGCGATGATGTCATTGTATTATAAATCACAATCATATTTTAGTTTTGCACCAAACTAGTCACCAGAAAGTGTTATCCCAATATTACTAATCATATTGTGCATTTGCTCTATGTGTATTGCTTATTGCTTATTGTGTTTTGTTTGTTTATATGGTCAACCTTCTGTGTTGTCTACATGACACAATGTTATGGTTCTCTGTTATTTATTTAAATGTTTGCACAATTACTGCTATATGCAACTGCATTAGCTCTCTTTCTGGACTGGGCAAATGTCCATCATCCATATAATTGCTATTTAGTATTGATTAATTGTTGTATTACTGCTCTTTATGAAGCGTCCTTGAGCTTAGGAAAGGCGCTATATAAATCAAACATTATTATTGAACATATTTACCTATACACTGCAAAAACTTCGAGATGGTCCTCACTGCAGAACACGAAATCCAGGGGGAGGAGTTCGATCCAGATCCAACTCCTCCCACCTTACATATACCTAAACCTACCCATCTCCGCCCCCTGATCCCTAACCCCACCCCTAATCCTACCCATCTCCACCCCTTAGATCTGGATCCAACTCCACCCCCTGGATCTCGTGTACTGCAATGAGGTGCTACTGAAAACTTCGGAAAACAAATCTAGTTACTTTTAAAAAACGGAAACAACAGCAATATTAAACACACCAGTTTAAAAAAAATTGAATTAATAATAATAATAATCACGGTAAATATAGTTCATTACTCTAAAAAGTAAATCAGGGGACCTATTATCACAACTTGCCACAAAAATACATGGTTGCAAGTTAAAAACGTTAATTTATAGATTTAAGCACAATCAGAATCAGAAATAGCTTTATTGCCAGTACAATACATACAGTACAAGAAATTTGTTTTAGTGACAGAAGCTTCCACAGCACAAACAGAATAACAGTGACAAGACAACGGTGATAAAAAGAATAAAAATAGAAAAAGTAAATAGGAATATATATATAATTATTTTTTTAAACACAATATACAAAAATAGACAATAGACGGTATATGTATGTACAGGTATGATATGTACAAATGCAAGGAAATGTAAACAAAGTATAAGTATGGTGTGTTAAAAAAAATAAACTGATTTGGTAGCTGAGCCGAACCAGACAGTTGCAGAGGAGAGACTCAATGACTGCAGAGTAGAACTGTGTCAGCAGCTCCTGTTGCAGGTTGAATGTTCTCAGCTGGAGAAGAAAGAACAGTCTCTGCAAGGCTGGGGAGAGAGCAGTGGGTGAAGAGCAGTGGGGAGTAGAGCAGTGGGGAGAGAGCAGTGGGTGAAGAGCAGTGGGGAGTAGAGCAGTGGGGAGAGAGCAGTGGGGAGAAGAGCAGTGGGGAGAGAGTAGTGGGGAGAAGAGCAGTGGGGAGAGAGCAGTGGGTGAAGAGCAGTGGGGAGAAGAGCAGTGGGGAGAGAGCAGTGGGGAGAAGAGCAGTGGGGAGAGAGCAGTGGGGAGAAGAGCAGTGGGGAGAAGAGCAGTGGGGAGTAGAGCAGTGGGGAGAAGATCAGTGGGGAGAAGATCAGTGGGTGGAGAGCAGTGGGGAGAAGAGCAGTGGGGAGAGAGCAGTGGGGAGTAGAGCAGTGGGGAGAGAGCAGTGGGGAGAAGAGCAGTGGGGAGAGAGTAGTGGGGAGGAAAGCAGTGGGGAGAGAGCAGTGGGGAGTATAGCAGTGGGGAGAAGAGCAGTGGGGAGAGAACAGTGGGTGAAGAACAGTGGGTGAAGAGCAGTGGGTGAAGAGCAGTGGGTAGAGAGCAGTGGGGAGAGAGCAGTGGGGAGAAGAGCAGTGGGGAGAAGAGCAGTGGGGAGAAGAGCAGTGGGGAGAAGAGCAGTGGGGAGAGAGCAGTGGGGAGAAGAGCAGTGGGAATAGAGCAGTGGGGAGTAGAGCAGTAGGGAGAGAGCAGTGGGGAGAAGAGCAGTGGGGAGAGAACAGTGGGTGAAGAACAGTGGGTGAAGAGCAGTGGGTGAAGAGCAGTGGGTAGAGAGCAGTGGGGAGAAGAGCAGTGGGGAGAGAGCAGTGGGGAGAAGAGCAGTGGGGAGAAGAGCAGTGGGGAGAAGAGCAGTGGGGAGAAGAGCAGTGGGGAGAAGAGCAGTGGGGAGAAGAGCAGTGGGGAGAAGAGCAGTAGGGAATAGAGCAGTGGGGAGAGAACAGTGGGGAGAGAACAGTGGGTGAAGAGCAGTGGGTGAAGAGCAGTGGGTAGAGAGCAGTGGGGAGAAGAGTAGTGGGGAGAGAGCAGTGGGGAGAAGAGCAGTGGGGAGAGAGCAGTGGGGAGAGAACAGTGGGGAGAAGAGCAGTGGGGAGTAGAGCAGTGGGGAGAAGAGCAGTGGGGAGAAGAGCAGTGGGGAGAAGATCAGTGGGGAGAAGAGCAGTGGGGAGAAGAGCAGTGGGGAGTAGAGCAGTGGGGAGAAGATCAGTGGGTGGAGAGCAGTGGGGAGAAGAGCAGTGGGGAGAAGAGCAGTGGGGAGAAGAACAGTGGGAGAAGATCAGTGGGGAGAAGAGCAGTGGGGAGAAGAGCAGTGGGGAGAAGAGCAGTGGGGTGAAGAGCAGTGGGGAGAAGATCAGTGGGGAGAAGAGCAGTGGGGAGAAGAGCAGTGGGGTGAAGAGCAGTGGGGAGAAGATCAGTGGGGAGAAGAGCAGTGGGGTGAAGAGCAGTGGGGTGAAGAGAAGTGGGGAGAAGAGCAGTGGGGAGAAGAGCAGTGGGGTGAAGATCAGTGGGGAGAAGATCAGTGGGGAGAAGAGCAGTGGGGAGAAGAGCAGTGGGGAGAAGAGCAGTGGGGAGAAGATCAGTGGGGAGAAGATCAGTGGGTGGAGAGCAGTGGGGAGAAGAGCAGTGGGGAGAAGAACAGTGGGTGAAGAGCAGTGGGGAGAAGAGCAGTGGGGAGAAGAGCAGTGGGGTGAAGAGCAGTGGGGAGAAGAACAGTGGGTGGAGAGCAGTAGGGAGAAGAGCAGTGGGGAGAAGAGCAGTGGAGAGGGAGCAGTGGGGAGAAGAGCAGTGGGGTGAAGATCAGTGGGGAGAAGATCAGTGGGGAGAAGAGCAGTGGGGAGAAGAGCAGTGGGGAGTAGAGCAGTGGGGAGAAGAGCAGTGGGGAGAAGAGCAGTGGGTGGAGAGCAGTGGGGAGAAGAGCAGTGGGGAGAAGAGCAGTGGGGAGAGGAACAGTGGGAGAAGAGCAGTGGGGAGAAGAGCAGTGGGGTGAAGAGCAGTAGGGAGAAGAACAGTGGGTGGAGAGCAGTGGGGAGAAGAGCAGTGGGGAGAAGAGCAGTGGGGAAAAGAGCAGTGGGGAGGAGAGCAGAGGAGAGGGAGCAGTGGGGAGAAGAGCAGTGGAGAGAGAGCAGTGGGGAGAAGAGCAGTTGGGAGAAGAACACTGGGTGAAGAGCAGTGGGGAGAAGAGCAGTGGGGAGTAGAGCAGTGGGGAGAAGAGCAGTGGGTGAAGAGCAGTGGGGTGAAGAGCAGTGGGGAGAAGAGCAGTGGGGTGAAGAGCAGTGGGGAGAAGAACAGTGGGTGGAGAGCAGTGGGGAGAAGAGCAGTGGGGAGAAGAGCAGTGGGGTGAAGAGCAGTGGGGAGAAGAGCAGTGGAGAGAGAGCAGTGGGGAGAAGAGCGAGTTGGGAGAAGAACAGTGGGTGAAGAGCAGTGGGGAGAGAGCAGTGGGTGAAGAGCAGTGGGGAGAAGAGCAGTGGGAGTAGAGCAGTGGGGAGAAGAGCAGTGGGGAGAAGAACAGTGGGTGGAGAGCAGTGGGGAGAAGAGCAGTGGGGAGAAGAGCAGTGGGGAGAAGAGCAGTGGGGAGAAGAGCAGTGGGGAGAAGAGCAGTGGAGAGAGAGCAGTGGGGAGAAGAGCAGTTGGGAGAAGAACAGTGGGTGAAGAGCAGTGGGGAGAGAGCAGTGGGTGAAGAGCAGTGGGGAGAAGAGCAGTGGGAGTAGAGCAGTGGGGAGAAGATCAGTGGGGAGAAGAGCAGTGGGGAGTAGAGCAGTGGGGAGAAGATCAGTGGGGAGAAGAGCAGTGGGGAGAAGAGCAGTGGGGAGAAGAGCAGTGGGGAGAAGATCAGTGGGGAGAAGAACAGTGGGTGAAGAGCAGTGGGGAGAAGAGCAGTGGAGAGTAGGGCTGGGTTTCGATTCAAATTTCAAGAATCGATTCGATTCCGATTCTCAAGATCTTGAATCGATTATCATTATTCGATTCGATTCGATCCGATCTGCTCCGATCTTCGAGATTTAGATAAGTGTTTTTGAAAAAAGCATTTTTTTTCCAGCTGTTACCTGAATTACAGGACTGTAGTTATGCAACATATTGATACTCTATTATAGACATTTAACTGCAAATTAATGGAGTATTGATGGTTGTAAAGAACAATCCCCCTTCCAGAGTGTTGATACAACTGCTTTCACAAACTTGCACTGGTGTAGACGACAGAGGACGCAGAGGTATATCAGCAGCAGTACTAGGGCTGTCGCGATTACCGCAATCTTGTAGTACCGCGCTACTGACAAGTCAACCGCAGACAATTGCAAGTAACCGCAGCAACCGCGATATTTACGTTTTTTTATAAGGCTACACCCTTCTTGTTTTGAACTTCATGCATGTGTATTGAA